CACCACTGGAAAGTCCAGGAGTGGCCCAACACCAAAGTCTTGGTGAATTTCGGTCCCTGCAAAGGTGACATCTCTGGTTTTAACCTAGAATCACGTTTAAGTTTGAAGGGTGAGAGCTGCAGACTGGCCATGGCCATGAGCATAAGGTTGTGATGGTTGGAAGAAATTTGATTTACTACAGAATTGCTGGAGTGGAAAAATGTATTTTGAAACTTGAAATGAATCATCACAAACTCCATCAGCTGAGCACTGCTTTGAAAATTCTACCCAAAACCACACAGAAATAAGCAAAGCAAAATTCTTGGACACTTCTTAAGGAATGATCGATGGGCTAGCACCTCTCAGAAACGTTTCTTGCCAACAGTGATGCTGGGGGTGACCAGCTCTGTCTGTACCTAAGCCTCTATGCTGGGGGTGACCAGCATTGTCTGTACCTAAGCCTCTCCCCAGGACGTCTGGAGAGAATTTCCTGGTAAAATCCACTACACTGACGATGCAGCCCACAGAGTATGAAACACTGCAACCAAGCTGCTCTGTGGATATCAGCCCCCAGTCGAGCAAAGGTCCTCAGGGCTGAGTGTAGCCCGCGGCTGACGGACAGCTTCCGCCAGGACTTGGGGCTGGGGCGGGAGTCGGGGGCCCAAAGCACTGTTCTGTGAGATCAGGGTCCCTGTGGTTTGATGATGCCCTCATTTGTCTCAAATTGGAGCTATTTTCCAATACTTCTTTGGGAGTGGGGTGAATGCCTCCTTCTAAGGGGTGGTTCAGAGTATTAACAGGAGCTCATTGTTATTTAGGGCAATCAGCCCGTGAACAAATAATCAAATCAGCTGCCACATCCTGGTTCTTCTCAAACTTGCAAGCTTTTTGATTCCCCCCTGACTTCCTTCCCTCCACTAAAAAACCAAATACACAAAGACCCGTGCTCTTGCCAGACCTCATGCACTTTTCTACATGGTTGTCTTGTCTTCCTCAGAGGCAAGTCTGGGGTGTAACTCTCCCACCCCAAACCTCTCCCTGAAAAAGGGCCCCATCTGGGTTTTAGTGATCTGACCCTCAACCTAACACCCCTATGCTATTGCCCTCTCGACTAGGGTGCTGCTGCAGATGCAGAGGGGATGCTGGAAATGTGTGCAGTCATGTTTTGATTCACAGCTGCACAAGGACGGGGGAAAGGCGGTAGGGAGGGGATTCGCTGTCCACGGCCAGGGAAGCTCAGGGTCCGGAAGTGCTCACCAAAGGCTGAACAAGGTCCCGAGTCCATCCCCTGCATCCCCTTGGGGGCCACTGTCCGAGGACTCTCCCATCTCCTAGGCAGCACAAGCCCTGTGTGCTTGCGCTCCCTGTCAGGAATGCTCTTTCTCCCCTACTTTCCCTACACCTCCCCTGCCCCACCTGCTCACCCCCTGTTCTTTAAGAACTTAAGTACTACTTATCTTCTTGGAGAAGATGCTTCCTTGACCCACTCAACTAGATTATGTCCCGGTATTACAAGCTCCCCAGCAGTCTGTAGAACACTGCACACTGGCCATTAAGCAATTACGTGCGAAATTCCTGATCATCTAACATCTTCTTCTTCACAGCGTCTTCACAGACGCTCCCAGAGAGCAAGACAAGCTGCGTTTATGTCCACCACGCCCTTGGCACCTGGCCCATCACAGGTCTGCCATGATTCTGCTGGAGGACTTCTCAAAACAAGTTCTCCCCTCACTAAACACATCCCTAGTCCCAGGTTTAACCCTACTTAAGCTCCCTGGAACAGCTGGAGACCTAACCAGGACTCCTGCTATCAGTTTTCCTTCTACTATCGGCCTTACAAGATGTGATGGATTCAACTTCCCAAAACTTCTCTGCTCAAAATACTCAGCTCAATCTAAATGCTACTGACTGTTCAGTTATTCCAAATGGAGTCTTGGCTTCTTAACATTGCATTCCAAGTTCTTTGCAGTCCAGTTTTCACCCACCTTCTCCGACTCTTCTGCCTTCCTCCCAGTAAGGAATGAACTTCTCAAACTCTCTGCATCTGTTCTGAATCACCCGCTTCATTCAGCTCTTCCCTCCAACCTTCGCATCTCACTCTGCCTGGACTTCCAGGCTAAGCCTACACCTTATCCCCTCGAATAAGCCATGAGTCATTCTAAATGAAAGACATCTCTCTCAGCCCCCTGCAATCTGAGAGTGCTTCCTCTGGATTTTACTTGAGAGTTACTTTCTGCCTATACTAGAATTATCCACATCCCTTACCAGACTTTGAATGCCTTGATGGTGAGACCCACGTTGCCACGTTTACCCACCACCCTTAGACTCTATCACAGGGCCTTGGACATAAATATCACATCAAAGAATAGGGCTGAGGGACACTGTAATCATGTTTGTGGTGTACTAATACTGAGAATTTAGAAATGAATCCTACAATATTCATTCCATTTGCTAGAGGACATCAACTAGTGACCAAAACACCAACAGTCTTCTGTTGTTCTTTACCAGGTAGACTTCACACTTGCTGTTCATTTCACCTTCAACAGTTTCAGTCAAAAGGTTACTGTTTATAATATAACCAAAAGAAAACCTCTATGCAGAAGCCTTAATAAATATAACAAAATCATGATGCTAATCATCATGGCAATTAAAAAATGGAAAAAAGTCATCCTTTTGGTTGCTAGGCAAATTGCTAATCTGAATGAAGCAGATAAAATGAAAGTCACTCAGTTGTGTCCGATTCTTTGCGACCCCATGGACTATACAGCTCATGGAATTCTCCAGGCCAGAATACTGGAGTGGGTAGCGTTTCCCTTCTCCAGGGGATCTTAACACAGGGATCGAACCCAGGTCTCCCACACTGCAGGAGTATTCTTTACCAGCTGAGCCACAAGGGGAGCCCAAGAATACTGGAGTGGGTAGCCTATCCCTTCTCCAGTGGATCTTCCCAATCCAGGAATTGAACCGAGGTCTCCTGCATTGCAGGGGGATTCTTTACCAACTGAGCTACCAGGGAAGCCATGTGGTGGAAGCTAACTTGAAATTTAGCTGGTGACACCTCTTAGGTAAACTAGTAACTGTTGGGGATCTATCTTCTCTTAAATACAGACCACATTGGGAGAGTGGATGGATTTATATGATGTGATCTAGGTAAACAATAGTGATCCCACCATAAACTACAAGCTGCCATCTCAAAGCACATAATGTTGACTCAGGATCAGAAAACCATCTGATCAGATGGGGTCACACTAGTTCCTTCTAAAGCGGCCAAGTGAAGGACCCTCTTGTAAAACATCTATGAGTCCAAAGCAAACACTGCATATTTACAGAGTCTGCATAGACATAAGAGGGTGGTGGGCCTAGAGATAATACACAGAGTCAGTATGAGTACAAGTCTTCCTATGCACAAAAGGCTGGGCTTGGGGACCAGAGGACACGTACCAAAGCTGCTCTTGTGCTCAGTAGACAAACTGCCTCCCATCACCAGCCCACCCTGATACAAAGACAGCCACTTTATCACCAAACTGCCAGAGCTTCTAATACAAAGCACAGTCAACACTCTTACATTCGTAAGCCCTTAATCACAAAATCATTTCAAAATATTGGGTTGGTCAAAAGGTTTGTTCAGGTTTTCCTGTATGATCTTATGAAAAAATTAAAAGAACTCTTTGGCCAACCCAATAAATTAAGACCACTACATGTAAAGGAAATGGCAATCCACTCCAGTAGTCTTGCCTGGGAAATCTCATGACAGAGGAGGCTGGTGGGCTACAGTCCACGGGGCTGCAAGGAGTCGGACATGACTGAAACGACTACACAACAGCAACACATAAAGATGAATCACAGGAAAGCATCACCGTCCAAAGAATGATTCACCTAGAATGCCCCTCTGGGGGTGAGGCTAGAAGCAAAAAATTTTACTTTCTGATTTAGAGACTCAGGCGTGGAGTAGGAAATGGCAACCCACTCCAGTATTCTTGCCTGGGAAAGTCCATGGACCGAGGAACTTGTCAGGCTACAGCCCATGGATCACAAAAAGTCAGACATGACTGAGCACACACACAAGTAAGCAAGAGACTCAGGGACCCTTGAAAGAAAAGGAGGTCTGATGAAACAGAGAATAAGTCATAAGACATATAACACATTGGCTGTGCATGCATTTTCTCTAACAATCAGTATTTGACAGGTTAAAGCACATCATTGAGGATGAATCATGTCCTTCTGAAGCACAAAAACCACCGACACAGAAGCTTGGAAGAAGAAACAAAGAAGCTTGGAAACTTCATATCCTTTGGTTCTCTGAACAATCAGAGGCCTTGTCTAGTCAACATTTGGATTAACTTTCCCCGGGGGTATTTTTATGATTTGAGAGGGGTAATAGACTGACATTCTCATAATACGTTTTCATTTTTTGAGATTAAAAAGTATGTCTCTTTAAGAAGCCACATTTTGGATCCATTAATGAGAACAAGCATACCCTCCTCCAGCTCAGCAAAGGTTAAAACCAACTGGAATAGTCCGGCCTCCAACAAACTTTAAACATTTGCTTGAAAAGTGTACATCAAGGAAAAGAGACTTTCAGAAGACAGGGTATAAAATCATACTCTCATGAGATTTGAGTTATTTAGCATAGAGGTGCGTCAGGTTTGGAAAACGAAAGCCCAAGTAATTAACAGAAAATTTCAAACTCGAGGGCAAGAGGCATTGATGTTTCATTATAGTAAAGTGCTTTTCTTCAAGATCCTAGACTGAAATGGTTATTAAAAATAAAGTTTCAAATTCCTAGTATTTAAACTCTCCAGGCAACTGGAAAGAAAATGGGTTCTTAGAGCCAGAAGGGGTGAAACCTACAAGCTATAAAGCCAAGACTAGCTCTCATTAGATGTTATGTATGTTTTTCTTCTGAAATTTATTCCTGTGATCTCTAGGCCTGTGGAACTGGGAAAAAAATTTGTGAACAACTGGCGTGGAGGGGCTGCAAAGCTACTTGCTGAGAGTTGAATCATGAAGCCATTACCTACCATGCTCCAGCGCTTTCATGGGAAACCAGAAGAGGATGAGCGAGTGGACCAAGGCGTTGATGCAGTGACCCCAGAAAACCTAAGGGAAAACAGACCGAGGTTGTCAGGAACTGCCCACACTCTTGACCTCTGTGTGGCTCAACAAGCCCCTCACTGTCAGGGATGCGGGCGGCAATTCCAGCTCCAGAAGGCGGAAAAAACCAATTTCCTCCTTTTTAGCTACAAATGAGCTGGCTGTCTCCAGATAATATTCCTTGAGTACAAAGACCTAAAGAGATATTCACATATACACAGGACAATATACAATCTACCCACATCTAAAAAATAAATGATGATCCATTTCCTTTAGAACTGAAAGCAAGCCGGCAACATTTTACCATCACTCAAAAAAAAAGGGGTAATAGGTCACAGTGGGACTGAAGAGACTGAAACCATCCTTTTGGAAAGCATTAAAAACATTTAACATGTGAATTCTCACACAGCACGCTCACTCTCTTGTTTCACCCCTGAATATCCGTCCCATTTTCGGTTTTTAGGATTTAGATGAGTATCATTCAGAGTTAAAGATTCTGTTTAACACTTAAAAGGTCAAACAACAGAACTTTAGTTCTAAACCAGTCGTTTCTTCTAAATTACAGATTCATAAATGCATTTCAATCATGCTTTTAACCCTGAGATTGAAAGAATTACTAAAGCCAGATTGAATTTCTTTAAAAATCTACACATCATACTAGGAACTGCCATATAGCTTGCTCTTAACTAGTGACGGGACAACTGAAAATGATGAGAAATAATAAGACAATGAGATCTTCCTACTTTAATGTTTAATGTTCATGATTTCCCTATCTCTTCCCTGCCCTTTACGTGCCACCCCCATCTTCAAAATGCCTGCAGGTTAGTCTCTGAGCACCCTCATCTCTGCTGTCTTTCCAATGGGTCCACTCCCTACCCCCACCTTATGCAGCCTTTGAATTCAAATTCTGTAGATCACAGATTTGATTCACATAAATGATGCTGGAGAAAGAGACCCTATCTCTCATGGACAGAGCCACAGTGAACAAGGACACAATCAGTCACTCCTATGTCCTTGTGTGTGGAACACACAAGATCCAGCAGGATCCCTCGTACTTTTTCAAGATGTGGACACAGCTATCACGCTTTCCTGAACATGAGGCCGCTCTGAAGGAGGACTGTCACAACACCTGGCTCAGAACAAGGTCTTCAGGGACCGCTCTTTGCCCAGGACTCCGGATGACCCTCTCTTAGGCCCCGGCGGTGGTCACACAGGCTGGTCACACATTCAACCAGCACCTGCTGTCTTAACTGAACGGGGCAATGAGCCTCAGTTCCAGCCCCTGAAACCCCTCCTGCATGAACACTGGAGATGGAAACATGGCAAATGCAGGCATATGGGCATCTCTGCCTCCAGCCCAGCTGGGCAACTGCCCTCGTCAGGGTGGGTCCTCACCGCTGCCCCCCAGATGTGGCTGGCTGGCCAGTGACCCACCAGACCCCTTGGCTACTCTTGATCAGAGGACCCTGCTCCCGCTCAACTCGGCCCTGGATCCCTACTCCTTGTCTGTCTAGATGTCTTCTCTTTACCGATTCTCCAGACTGAGAAACAACAGCCACGTCTGACTTGATTCCTGCGTTCACCTCTGGCCAATTCTCCTGAAGGAATATTTCTCTGTCACTGAGAACCAGGCAGTGATGGAGCGAGGACCGTGCCAGGTGACGGGGCTTGATGGGATGGGGGAGGACTGGATCCTACAGGCCTCGGGGTGTGGGGGCCACTGGCCACGTGGCCATCAGGGGTGCAGGTGGGGAAGAAGGCTTTGTGAAACAGGAAGACTGGATGCTTCCTGCCTGGTCAGGCAGCTCAGAGTCCCCGGGTGTGCCATCCTGGAGGAGGTCTGGGGCTTTGCCTTCCTTCAAGCGCTCCCTCCGAGCATCGGCGGGGTCACCAGCCTTTCCGAGGGGTCCTATGTGCATATGTAGCTCACCTTGGTGTTGAAGCCCTCAGCGTTCTGGGTGATCTTGTAGAGCTGTGGGAACCTCAGCATGCTCTCCTGGCTGCAAGACCTCTCGAAGATGCCCAGCGTGAAGGGGGGCAGCGCCGTGAAAATCTGCGGAGATAATAGTGAGCCGTTAGCAGAGGCCCTTCCGACTCCTGCAGCCCCGGAGGTTTAGGTCGACGTGACGATGCCGTAACTTCAGGTCAAGTCCAAACCCGAGGTTCAGGGACTCCCTGGACACCCTCCCATCAGAGAAAATAAATGAAAGGTCATTTTACGCTGTTGCCTAATCAGCATAAAATAAATTGACACAAAACACTAAGACCAACATCCTAAAAATGTGATTGGCCAAGAGCTTTGGTTCAAGGAATAACTGCCTTCCTTTGCAGATGAGCTGTGACTTCGAACCCGACACGGTGGGCTCTTTGTGGTGTGGGGGTGTTTTTCTGTGGGAGCCGAGGCCCCATTTACCTTGATTTTATGCTCACTTTTCAGGAAGCACAATGTCCTTCACCCACTTACTCAGTCATTTTACTGAGAATACATGATGGTTAGATACTGTGATAACCCTCAGGAAGGGAGAGATTTAGGAACAGAAGAAGGAAGAAGGCAAAGAAGCAGGTCCCTGACCCCTTGGAACTCTGTTTACTGCAGAGGTGGGGACACGGCAGCTGGCAACAGCACAGAACATACATACACAACAGCATGCTCTGCAAAGTCACTCCTGGGGAGATGATGCAGGAAGCGGGGGGATCAAGGAAGGATGCTTGGACCACAAAGCCTCTGGCCTGGAAGGTACTGCACCTGTAGAGTTTGGCAGGATGGCAAGGGGTGAGAGTGGGAGGGGACAGGGGGCAGCAACCCCACAGAACGAGCACCCGTCACAAAGTTCTGAGGCTCAAGCACACACAGAACATTTGGGGGGACCTGGAGGTCATCCAGGGTGGCCAGGGACACGGCAGGAGACAAGGCTGGGATGGAGACAGAATGACCTCTGGATATGCTGAGCAGAGGGTGCTGACATTTGTCTGTCCTCCATAGCATGTGGCAGGCTTCCATCTGTGTTCTGGAAAGAGAAAGCTGGGTGCTAAAGCACAGGGCTGGAACAAGCATGTCATCCCAGTCTGGCAGATCTACGGGCCACCTCCTCCCCGGGTGTGAGCATGGGCCGCTCTCTGCTCGGCATGGACCAAATCCGTACCCCCAAGCCCGCCAAGTTCTGGGGGCCATGAGAACTGAATGTGCGTCTCAAGAAAGTGCTGAGTGCATATCAGTTCCCAGCAGCCTGGATGTCTGGCCAGGAGTCAGCCAGTCCTAAGTCTGCTGGGACAAGGCAACCAGAGTGTGCTGGGGTGAGGCCCGGAAAACTGGCCGGCTCCACCTTCAACTGGGAGCAGAGGAGAACAGCCCCAGGATGTCCATGTTCTAAAGATCTCAAGGAGAAAAAGATGTCAGTGACAAACGCTACAGGAAGGTGCCCCACAGACATCTCAGAAGTGCTGCACACTCAGTGTATATATAAACTCACCCTCACTGTCGGGCTGAAGGAGTGATCCCCACATTATGTACACAGCCGGCTGTTTCTCCTTTTCCTTTTTTCACTTGACTTCCTCCTCCTACCTACTTCAAATCCTCTGGCCCTCTGCACCCCCAGGCTAACCACCTGCCAGATAGCTCACCTGGATTGTAGTGTGTGTGAGTGTGCGCACACATGCGCACACGCGCGCACACACACACACACACGTCAGGGATCATTACTTGTTTTTCAGAAACAATCCATCATACAAACTTTCTTCATTGTATTTTTCTCATTAAATGAAACACCATGGGAAGCCCCCAAGTTCCCAGGGTTTGACCCCAAAGCCGTCATTTTCATGCTCACATAATAATTCATACTATAAGGGAACCGTATTTTTTCAACCATCACCTATGAATAGGCATTCATCTTGTTTCCAGTTCTCTGTTGCCACAACCATCATGTAATAAACACCTAGAATATATTATAATATCTATCCTGTATCTTTTATTTCTCTGTGAAGGATTCCCAGAAGTAGGGCTATGGGATTTTAAAAAACAAATACATTTTTAACTTCACAGAATGCTGCTTGGCTGCTTTCAGAAAACGTCCCAGTGGTTTCTCTCTCCTTTCATGAAGGACACAATCTTTTCCCTGCTCTCCTATCAGCAATTGCTTGTTATATTTTATTTAATACTCTCCACTTAGAAAAACTGAAGATTTGACTACTTCTAAAAATAAACATTCCCGGGCCACCAGTGAGTCTGATCATGTTTTCATGTATTTGCTGGATGTGAGGATTTGGAATTATGCGCAACATCAGGTCCTTTGTCCATTTTCAATTCATGGTTTATCTGCTTTTCTAAGAGTCCTTGAACTCTGTCTTTCTATCATAAAATTTCCTCCAAATACACTTTTTGTCTACTGGCTTTCTTTACGGTTTCATTTGTCATATAAAATGCTTTGAATTTCTGTAAGATCAAGAATAGTTTTTCAACATGCAATTACGTCAGGAGTTTCTTGCAGGATTTTTATAGTTTTACTTCTCAAATTTATGTCTCAACTTTTTTCTGAAACTAATGTATCTATGCTGGATAAGAAAGGAGTCCAATTTTACTTTTTTTCCCTATAAAGAGCCAGTTTTGAGAACACAGTCCAAACTTTTTCACCACACTAAAATATCACCTTGGACGTTGACTTATTAAACTCTCACATGTTACAGATCTAGAAGCTAGAACTGGGATTTAGTGCTAAGTTCCCTGACTGATCCACCCAGTTCTCTCAGTACCATGTCGATGTGGTTGTGGCAGCCTTACAGCATGGTTTCATGTTTAGATAAGTCTACCCTCTGATTGTTCTTTTCTGAACATGCTTCGCATATTTACTCTTAGGCAGGCACCTGTTAATTCCATTTACACTTCAATATCATTTTATGCAATTCCCTTCCCCTACCCTCTCCCACCCAAACAATCATCCACCAGGATTCTAACTGGAATCACATAAATTTACATACTAATTTTTGGATGGGTTGATACTAAGTTTTATATGATACTGTGTGAAAGTCGCTCAGTCGTGTCTGACTCTTTGCGACCCCATGGTCTATACAGTCCATGGAATTCTCCAGGCCAGAATACTGGAGTGGGTAGCCTTTCCCTTCTCCAGGGGATCTTCCCAACCCAGGAATAGAACCCAGGTCTCCTACATTGCAGGCAGATTCTTTACGAGCTGAGCCACAAGGGAAGTCCTCAGTATAAAAATTATTCCTATGAAAGGTAGAGTTCTAATTGCTATTTTGAAAGGAATTATTACTCTCCTTTCATTTCTAAATCTCACTGCTATACTAAACAAAAATAGCTAGTGACTGCCAGGTCAGAAAAGCTATTGGTTTTCATGTATTTATTATGAATCTAGTCATCTTATTAGATTTTCTTATAATTTTATCATTGTATTATAGATTTATAACTTACAATCAAAATCTTACAATTTTATAATTTTCTCATAATTCTATCATTTCTTTACTGGTATGTTTTGGGCTTTTTAGATGTACAGTCATATGAACATATTTACACAGCCATTTTTGGTCCACATATTTGTATGAGCACAGAAATATTTTACTTTTTCCTAGTATTTGTAATAGCTATTTAATTTTCTTGGCAGTTGCTGAAAATTCCCAAACAATGCTGAATTATATAGTGATGACAGGAATCCCTGACTAATTTCTTATGTAAAATGAAACAGTTTTAGGATTTTACCATTTATGGTAGTATGGTACTAGTTTTTCATAAATAGTATGCATTATAGCCAATTGACTTCCTTCTATGTTATGTTACTTAGATTCCTTATTTTGGGACTGACAGTTGCATTGACTCAATAACTTTTGCAGCATCTACTGATGGGATCACATTTTTCTTCTTTATTTGGCTGATACAGTGATATTTAGAAAGTTTTTTAAAGTTTTGAATCTCCTACATTTCTGAAATAAACCAATTATCTGTCAAATATTTTATCCTTTTGATACACTGTTGAACTCTATTTGCTGACACCTTATTTATAATTTGTACACTTCTTTTTATAAGTGAAGCTGGGATCAGTTTTCTTCAAATTTTGCTAGCTTGATAAAATTAAATCGGATACATTTCTTTGTTGTTAAAAAGTCATCTCTTCACACACAAAAAATGGATAAAATGTAACTGAAATCCATTTGATCATGGTAGCTTTTGTCACTGGTGGCTTCTTTGGTCTCATTCTACCCATAAATTAAAATGATGTAGAAATTTGACTATGGATATAATTAACATCTAATAGGATGCCATTGATCCATGACTTCAGGATATGGAGGAATCTGAAGTTAGTTTCAGAGCTATTTAATTCAGCTCTGTGAGAATTAAATTGGGAAACAGAAACTTGCTGCTTTAGCTGGTTTGGTGAATCAAACATGAAGAGTTAAGTACTGAAGAAGGAAAAGCAATATTGCTTGAAGAAAATGGGAAGAGCGACCCCAGTCCAGAAAAGCGGTCACTAGCATCATCTCAGATGTCACTAACTGCCTCTTGCCCTGGGTATCTGTGGAGCAACCTGGAGAGGAAGGAAATACTAAACAGAAGCATGCCAGTGTATCAGTGGTAAAAGAATCTGCCTGCAATGTAGGAGCCAAAGGAGACCCAGGTTTGATCCCTGGGTCGGGAAGATCCCCTGGAGGAGGGCATGGTAACCCACTCCAGTATTCTTGCCTGGAGAATCCCATGGACAGAAGAGCCTGGCAGGCTATACCCCAAAGGGTCACAAAGAGTTGGACACGACCATAGCGACTTAGCATGCATGTACATATAGATCAGACAGCAGTGTTGTAGCCATATTAAACTTCATGATTTTGATCATCATACTGTGATTACATAAGAGAACTGTCTTACCAGCTATGCACTTGAGGATAAAGCAGAGGGACATGATGTCTTTAAAAAAATTTTTTTTTTTTAGTAAATCACTTATTTGTTATTTATTTGGCTGCCCTGGGTCTTAGTTGCAGCATGTGTGATCTAGTTCCCTGACCAGGGATTGAATCCTGGTCTCCTGCATTGGAAGAGCAGAGTCTTAGCCACTGCACCAGCAGGGAAGTCCCAGGGACATGATGTCTTAACTGATTCCCAATTAGCTCAGAAATACATGTGTTGCAGTGTGTGCATGTGTTTGACTATATGTGCACATGTGAATGTCTTGAGAGAGAATGCCAGTGGGGGCAAAATGTTAATAACTGATGGATGAAGGTATACAGTTCTGTGTATCCTTTTTACATCTTTTCCCTAAGTTTCTATTTATTTCAAACAAAAGTTACCAAGACAATTTCCAAGGGAGGTGAGCAGACTTTCAGTCCTCAAAAGCATTGGCCCTTCCGTGACTGACTGCGAGGTCAATGACCCTCTGAGCCCACTGGACTTGACTGTCCCAACTCTCTGCCACCATTTCCTGGTGACCAACTTCCACACTGTGGCAACAGGGCCTTTTCACCTGGGAATTCACTTCTCAGCTGCAATAATCTCTCTCCTCTGGATTTTTAAGTTACAGTTAAAAAATACATCCCAAACCCTAGGGGGTCAAACTTTAATGTGGATAACCACTGTTAGAAAGTTTTGCTAAAAATTTTATTTTGTTTCTCAGTATCTTTGGGAAACTCTTTGTTAAGTTGGGACGGTACTCAGGAATCCGCATTATCAAAGAATTCCTGGTGATGCTCATGCATGCGATCTGAGGACCACGTTGACCAACATAGTCCCACAGCCCATCAACATCTGATGTACCATAGCTACGAGTTTGCTGGATGAACCTGAACTGCCCAATATGGCAGAGAACTAAGGAGAGGATTCAGTGCTCTGTCTGAGCATGAAGACAGGGCTAAACTCCTTTTATTGTGTAACCAAGTGATGTGTGTTTCAATTCTTAGTGCTAAAGCACAGCCTCTTCGGTCTCAGCCTTCCAGTTATTAATACTATATGTATGTGGGCCAGTGTTGGCCTTTTCCAATACTAAATCACTGTGGAGCAGTCCGTATATTTCCTCCTGAATGGTCACATAATTTTAACCTACTCAAAACACTTCTAAGTCCTGCAAAGTTAACAACCTGCCCAAGGGGAGGCCCTTTCTATGTGGTAGGTGGTTAGAGTGGCTTTTCTAGCATAGGTGATAAATGGCCATCAATTCAGCTCTGTTCTCTCCACTTGTCACTTTTGCCTTTGGGGGCACAATTATTAGCAAAAAACGTACTAGTGCACTTTGTGGTGAGTAACACAGTTATCAACTGATCAACCAAGATCTGAACTTGGTTCAGCACCATCTTAGTCTCCACATGCGACCCTCTTCACCTGTTGAGCTCTATAGGGCTGAAGCTGTGTGTTCTGTGTGTTGCATGCAGTATTTTATTAAAATATAGAGCACCTAGCAGAGTGTCTACTTAAAAAAAAGAGGGGACTGAGTAGATGGATGACTTGAATATCCAGCCACAAATGTATATACAAACTCTAAATATTTATAGCACCATGATTTATATTACTGTATGTCTGGTAACTTCCATCTATGCCTACCTATGACAGCTGTTTCAGAGTATAAACTCCCCCCAGGCAGAGAATATCAGAGTTAGGGTCCAAAACAAAAGTGTGAAAGCACAATTCAAGAAAGGTGCCTTAAGTTACACCCCTTGCCAGGAAAACAAAAGGCTAAGTAGCTACTTAGTCATGTTAACCTATAGTTGATACTTATTTTTAGCTTTTGAATTTGTTACAGTCAAGTAATGAAATGAGAACTCGAAAATCATAAAAAATACCAAATAAACTGAAGACCATTTGCCACAGGAGCTGGGAGTCAGAACTCATTACTTTAGCACTAACTGTGGGAGGAAATGTCCATCCACAAGGACACATATGCTTTTAAGAAGGACAAAAAGGACACCAGGTTAGGTTTTGTACATTCACATCTGGGTTGATGGATTCAGAAACGAAATTATGGAGCTGAATGAGTTTAGACACAGTTCAGAAATTTTTTTTCTGGAGCTGCAAACATGGAAATGTTGCCCAGGCATTTAGTCAGGAGGTAACAAGGGTCTATTATCAAGATATATGGGTTAATAATTTCATGGGGTTATTCAGGAATGATCTGCGATGATTGAAACCATGTGTGGGGAGTTTGTGCTTCTGCAGGATGTGTGGCAGCAACGGAGGCCCTAAAGATGTATGTGAGCAGTGGATGCAGATGAGGGACTTAGCTCTGCGTCCCAGACACAAACAGCGCGGCCCCGCACGCTGTCAGAGGGATAGGGAGAGTGCTTACTTACCACGTTGTACAAGCCGATGCACCAACGTTCAAATAAAATCTGCCCAGAAAATCCATTAACGAAGGCAAACCAAAGCTGAAAGAGAAGGAAGTTCATGAAGTTTTATATCAATATTGACCTAAATGTTTCCATTCACTGAAGGAATTGCGGGGAATGTGGACCACCAGCTGGACACAGCTGCCTAGGGACACAGAGCCAGAGGACCGAGGTTATTCTTCCATAAAATACAGATTCCCAATATCACAAACACCAACATTTTAAGGAAACTGTACATTGAAGGCATTCATCGATTTTAAGAGGTAGTATGCACATATTTATAGAAAAGCAATTTATGTTTAATTTATATCTAATGTTTCGTGTCAGCACGTTCTCAATATGGGAAGGATCTCTACTTCATGTTCTTTTCCCTATAAAATTGACTTGATAAATATGACTTATCTTTGTAGGGCTTTCAAATAGATAAAAATGAAAAGGAAAAAAACAAAAAACAAACCAGACACTCCACTGTTGGTCACATGTGTTCTTAGCTCATAAAGTACTTGTGTGCTCAGGCATGTCTGACTCTTTGCAGCCTCATGTACTGAAGCCCACCAGACTCCTCTGTCCATGGAATTTTCTAGGCAAGAATATTGAAAGGGGTTGCCATTTCCTCCTCCAGGAGATCTTCCCAATCCAGGGATTGAACCCACATCTCTTGCATATCCTGCCTTGGCAGGTGGATTCTTTACCACTGAGCCACCTGGGAAACCCAATTTAAAGATTAGCCACCCCTAAAACAACAGTTTTATTCACATGTCTTCCCTACCATGTGAGGCCTGGGCAATCAGTACTTCAACCAAACTTTTAGTGCAATGAGAGTTCAGATCCATACAAGATACAAACATAATTCTAAAGTGTTTTAAGGGTCTTAACCTAATTTTCCCAAGATTATGTTATACTTTTCTTTGTCCTTTTCTCACACAACTGAGTGAATATTGATAAATACCTAGCAAACAGAATTATTTTATTGCTTATTTCAGTTAATTTATTGGTTTTTGTTGAAGATAGAGTAGTAACATTTTTACTGCCCTGACCTCCCTAATAGCAACTGAAAGCAGCAAAAATAATTGAAAACAAAAAAGAAATAGATATTTTCAGTGAAACTATGAGATAACCTTAGTTAAAACTACAAATGACATAGAATAGAAACTGATCAATAAGACGAGAACGTCAACAGCAGACAAAACCTTCAGAGACAGGACTTCCCTGGTGGTCCAGTGGGTAAGCATCTGTCTTGCAATGCAAGGAACCTTGGTTTGATCCCTGGTTGGGGAACTAAGACTCCCACATGCTGCGTAGCAACTAAACTTGTGCATGGCAACTACTGCGCCTCTGAGCTCCAACTAGAGAATCTGGTGGAGCAATGAAAGGATCCCACATGCCACAATGAAGACCCGACACAGCCTCATTAATTAATTAATTAAAAGAAAACAGAAAAAAAAATTTTTTTAAAACCCTTCAGAGTAAAAAGGTTTCCAAGAAAGAGGTGAAACAAGCCCAGAAAGAGCAGAATCAGCTCTTATTTAGAGGGTGAGATTGATGTAGGGGTGAGTCATGACTGATGTCCTGAGACTGATTCAACACAGCAGGCACATAGAGTTCAAGGGCAATATACACATATATGCCTCCTCTCCTCGTAAGTGATGGAGGAGGAGAATGGCAGGGCCCAGTAGGGAGCAAAGGGCAATCAATGCGGCAGATGCTAATTGAGGTAAACCAAAAGGAAATAAATGCAGATTCACCTAACAGGAAAGCTGTGATACACAGAAATTCACCACGAGGTGTAGAGGCCTCCAACTCACCTGCAGAGAAAAAACAGTGGTGAGGGAGGTGGTCACAGTAGCAATGGGACAGGTGACCCAGGCAGAAGAGACAAACCAATGATGAGAAAGAGTTCTGAAAAACTGAGGTCCCCTCCCCTAGGCGTCACTACAAAATAACAAAAAATAAACAAAATAATGTGGCATAAATAAATGGCCAAATATGAAACAATCTCCATAGAAAGAACCAGTTCAAAGCACAGAAAAATATTTTGAATGTCTCGACAAGCCTAAAAGAGCCAAAGAAGATGTGACCTTTCACTGAAACAAGCTGGAACAAGATGTGTACGATACCAAAGAGGGAAACAAATAATAAGAGGCTGATGAGACAGATTAAGGACACATAAAGGGAAATAAAAATGGGCTCCCCACAAGGCACTGGTGGAAAAGAATCTGCCTGCCAATGCCGGAGATGCAAGAGATGTGGGTTCAATCCCTGGGTTGGGAAGATGCCCTGGAGAAGGAAGTGGCAACCCACTCCAGTATTCTTGCCTGGAGAATTCCATGGACGAGGAGCCTGGTGGGCTGCAGTCCACGGCATCACAGAGAGTTGGACACAACTGAGCATCTGAGCACACACACAATGGGAAACAAAACTCAGGATGGACACTGCTGAAACTAGTCTGGGTTGGGTAGGACAGGCTCTGAGTTATGTTGGGCAAAGGACAAAAGTTAACACTGAATTTAGGAGAAACTGACAGCCTTCCACATATAACAACAAAAGTCCGAAAAGGGGTATCTTTTAAAAAAAAACGTAGACTAGAAACAAATGTTCAAAGATATAATAGAAGAAAAATTCCTGAAACAGTCTAAAACCTTACTCAGCCAATAAATACAGAAGACACCCTTTGTCCCCAGAAAACAAAACAACAGCTACAAAAAGATCAAAAGCCATGGGCACCCTGATGTATCAGTTAATGACTTTTGAAACTTTGTAGTATCAACTCTTTAATGTATTCAACCAGGAAAACCAATTAGCCTACAAGGGGAAAGTCAAGTTGGTGTCATGTTTCTCCAGCACAGTTAGACAATACCTGAAGTCAGCAGTGAGTGTTCACAAGCCCTTAGGGAAATAAAGCATGAGGAGAATTTCAGTAAAACGTAGAAACCAAGGAAACAGCAAGAGCTGAAAACATAACATAAAATGTGATGACAGAAGCAATACCAAATATGTCTGTTACATTAATAATACACTGAAAAATGCAGAAAGGATTAAAAATATGAAACCCCAAATATATGCTAAGTACCAGAGAAATGTGAAAAAGAAACACTATTCAAATAAGATTGAATTCATAACCCTAACTTACAAAGTCCTACAATGGACAAGGCCCTTGCCTGTCATCTTGAGGTCACTGTCCTTCCTTACAGAGAGGTAATGGCCTTCCACTGGTTCCTATGAGTGCCAAAGGTGGATCCAGCTTCATTACTTTGAACCCAGACAGAAGGCAATTATGCCAACAGCATTTGGCTCATAAGCCACCTTTATCTCACTCTGTTGAAATGCCTTTTAATATATGTTACCACAGTATTGGGAAAAGTTTTAGGTTGTTTTGGTCTCACGCCATATACTGAAACTAATTACAGATGGCTTGAATACTTAACCATGATACCCAATGCAAAGCATTAGGAGACAGCAGGAAAAAAAGTTATTTTTTTGTATGTGAAATTGACTCTATATGACATTAATTTTCAGAAATCATACAAAAAGAGAAATACATTTGAAACACTTCTATAGAGGCAAACATTAATAAAGTTGAAAGAAGATGAACAAACAGTATATATAAATATGTATTTGTAACATCTATGAAGATCTAATTTCCTTACTCTATAAAGAGTTCCTCAAATGACGAAGAAAATGCCCAACAAGCTATTAGGAAAACAGGCCAAAAATACACATGCAGTGTGATCACAGGACACAAAACCACTTATAAATGTAGGAAACCTCATTTTTTGTGAAACACACACACAAAAGGATATCATTTTTCACCCAACAAATGGTCAAAGATTTAAAAGTTTGACAACCTGAGAAAACAGCTACTTTCATACCTAGGTGGCAATACAGCACTGTCCACAAATATGTTTCATATATTTTTCCTTTGATCTAGCAATTCCACTTCTAGGAACATACTCTATATCTTATAGCTATAATCATGTAGCATTCAACATAAAATATTAATACTAGGGGGTTACCATGGCATTATTTAGAAGGATAAGAAACTAGGATCCCCCGTGTACACTGGAGGCTGGTTAAATGGATATAATTCATCTAGAACAATGAAATACTAGGCAGACATTTAAAAAAGCAATATAGGTCTGTGCACATGGTGATGCTGAACTCTCACTGATACAGTGATACATGAAAAATACCAGGGTACATATTGAATGGTCATGGTTATATGGAGTTGATGGATACACTCCTGCATGCATGGCAAATTTCTGGAAGACCCTTACGAAATTGTTAATATTCATTATCTTGATGTAGCAGAAGTGGTCTCTAGGCTGGTAGTATGGAGACTCACATACCTCTGTGAACTTTTTAGACATGTCCATGTTTTATTTAGATAACTGTTTCAAGCAGTTATTCTCAACTAGGGTTGATTTTGCCTCTGAGACACCTGACCATGCCTGGAAACCATCTGAGTGTGTTATCGGCATCTGGTGGGCAGAAGCCAAAGATTGTGCTAAATATCATAGGATGACCTGGAAAGTTCCCTATAGTAAGGAACTGTCTAGTCCAAGGTGTCAACAGTGCCACTGCAGAGAAAGCCTGGATGAAAGAAATAGGTTCATGAGGTCAACATGATAAAGTTTTAAAATAATATTGTAACATGTTTGTTATAAGCAAAATAACACCACATAACAGACTGCAGGAAGTCATGCTTGTACATGTGTGTACAACGTGGGGGTTCAGAAAGCTTTGCTTCTTTTTGAGCAACTCCCCTCTGGGCTGACCTCGTACATAGGACCACAGGCCCTACACCTTAGAGACCGTGGTAGCAATGGATGTGACTGCAAAAGTGGACAAAATTAGATCCCTAAACCGGAATATATCTTGATAAATTATCATTGAGATATCACTTTAAAGACAGTAAATTTCATGTAACTGTGACATTCTAGTTGTTGAAATTCACAGTAAGGAAAAAAAAATCCTAAGAAATCAAGGCATGTCTTTCTCAGCATTAACCTTCGCCCTGAGCAATCCTAACCAAGTCACAA